CTGTAACGTTCTATGACAGCTTAAAACCTGTACATGGGGGGTACTGTTTTACTTGGGAGACTTTGCTGAACACAAATATTAGTGTTTCAAAACAGTAAAACATATCACAGCGATGATATTGTCAGTGAAAGTGAAGTTTTTTTTGCATTTTTCACACACAAACGGCACTTTCACTGATGATATTATTGCTGTGATACATTTTACTGTTCTGATACACTAATATTTGTGTTCAGCGATGTCTCCTGAGTATAACAGTACCCCACATGTAGAGGTTTTATAGTGTTTGTGAAAGTTACAGGGTCAAATATAAGGCTTGATTTTACTTTTTTTTTATTGAAATTTGTCAGATTGGTTAGGTTGCCTTTGAGAGCATATGGTAGCCCAGGAATGAGAATTAGCCCCATGATGGCATACCATTTGCAAAAGAAGACAACCCAAGGTATTGCAAATGGGGCATGTTCAGCCTTTTTTAGTAGCCACTTAGTCACAAACACTTTTTTTGCATTTTTAACACACAAACAAGTATAAATGCTAACTTTGGCCAGTGTTTGTGACTAGGTGTCTACTAAAAAAGACTGGACATACCCCATATTGAATACCCTGGGACCGGTTGTCTACTTTAAAAAAATATGTACATGTGAGGTGTGATTCGGGGATTCACAGATAACAGTGTTACAATGTCACTATTGATAAATTTTAAATATATATATATTGAAACAGCAATTTCCTACTTGTATTTATAGGCCTAAAACTTGCAAAAAAAAGCAATAAAGCATGTAAACACTGGGTGTTTTTAAACTCAGGACAATTTTTTTTTATCTATTTAGCAGTTTGTAGATAAGCAAAAGATTTTTCAAGTAAAAGTCCAAAAACATGTTCTTTTTTCAATTTTTCACCATATTTTATTATTTTTTTTTAAATATTATATATGACATGACACAAATAATGGTATGTGAAGAAAGCCCTTCTTGTCCTGAAAAAAACAATATCTAACTTGTATGGGAACCGTAAATGAGAGAGAGGAAAATTACAGCTAAACACAAACACCACAAAAGTGTAAAAACTGCTCTGGTACTTAACGTACAACATCGCAAAAACAGGCCGGTCCTTAAGGGGTTAAAGAATATGTCCTCTTGTTGTGGTAGTTTTTCTTCTTTTAAATATAGTCTCCTCCTTTACTGTGTTGATCCCCTTTATGTATTTAAATGTTTCTATCTTACGGGTATCCACATAAAGAGAAACTTGACATGATATGCAGTTTCAATTACTTTCACATTTTGTTAAGCAATATTGTATAATGAACATAAGCATTATGTGAAAATATATAATATTATATATTATAAGTATATACATTTTCCATACCTACATCCAAGAGGTCAGAGCAAAGTTTCATTTTCACCATGGGCTCACAGGAGACATGGTTGGACTTCAGCAATCCACCCAATAACAGGAGAAGTCCAGTTGCCAGTATCATTATATTATTATCTGATAAAGATTAGAAAATAATTGTAAGGAAAGGTGTGAAATCCAGTGACAAAGGGTATAAGGCCACCCCAGTGTTTTCGACCTATTACAGATGCATTATGTAATAGATTTGTGCATTTCAGGTCTTACAAACGAATCAGGTTGTTCTTAAAGGACCACTATAGTGTCAGGAAAACAAACTTGTGTTCCTGGCACTATAGTGTCCTGATGGTGTCCCCACCCTCAGGGTCCCACTCCCGTGGTGCTGAAGGGGGAGGAAAGGGGTTAATCCCTTACCTTTTTTCCAGCGCCACGCTCCCTCGTCGCTGGGACTCTCCTCCCTCTTCTGATGTCATCAGCTGAATGTGCATGCGCGGCAAGAGCATTCTCAATGCTTTCCTATAGACGCTGGCTGAAAATCACAGTGAGAAGCGCGGAAGCGCCTCTAGCGGCTGTCAATGAGACAGCCACTAGAGGCTGGATTAACCCATAGGTAAACATAGCTGAAGTTGTCTGGGTGCCTATAGTGGTCCTTTAATCTTTGCCAAATAAATCCAACTTTCTGGAATTTACCTGTCGAATCTTAGTTAATTAATAATACTCCACAGGTAAATTCCAAATGGATCTATTATATAATCTTCTCATGATTAATGGTCTTAGATATTTTAGAAATTATCTCTCGTGTCCAGTGGTACACAATGTTTGACACACTGGAACTTCAAACATACCATTTAACAGATGTGTTTAGCCACATACTATAAGGGATTTTCTAAATAGACATTAGTGGTAAGTTATTTGAAAGCTTGCTAATCTAAACACAAAAAGCTGAGTTAGAAAAAAAAAATATTACGAGTAGATGCACACCATTTATGGAAAATATATATTGCAAGTGTGTATGAAAGCCATTACCGTCATGCATATAATCGTATAATCACACGGAATCAAAGAGTATTTTGGATTGTACTGCGGGATATTTTCTGTTACATTTACGGACTGGTACTTTTCCCATACATGTCTGTAGGAGAACTGCTAGTCAGTTACCAAAGTTGGAATAAAATAATATCATGTTGCGTACTACGGTGCTGTCAATGGCAGTTCATCTAATTCTGGAGCAAAATCGCAAAGAATTAATCCGGGATTGCTGTGCCAAAACACACCTGTTTAATATCTGGAGCTATCTCATTGCTCACTAACTAACCGTATTAACAAGAATGAATCAGTTGTTTTAGAATAGCCCATGAAGTAGGTACATAAATTGAATGTTCCATGTAAAAACCTAGCTTCAAATTGTAGTTGCATCTTACTACATCTTGTGGCCATAACTGGTACTACAGGTATGAAATTAGTTTACTTTATAACAAGCATGTTGACTTCCAGTAACGTTTTAGTGAATAACTTTGATTAAGTTTTATTAAGAGATAATTCCACTTTAAGAGCCGCTAGACTTCAATGTTGTGATTGGAAAAAAACTCAATGCAGAATATATTTTTTCCCGTTACTAGCACATTATACAATTATTGCAGCCTTTATTTTTAATATATGATTTTACTTTATAAATAAAATAACAAGAGAATAAAAGACACATAAAACGCATAGGAAAAGTCATAATAATTACACAAAATGATATAAACAAACAATTATGATCACCTGCATAAAGAAATATGTTTATAAATATATTTGCAAACACTCAACTTTATCGAGTGTCGCATAAATAGTGAATTATGATCAGTGAACATTGACCTTGCGAAATCTAGATAAAAACTGCTGAAATGGGAAAAAAAAGTTCAACTTGACTGAGTTAGAAATCTTTTCAAACTCGGAAGAGGTTCATTCAGTATGGTGTGAATTGTTGCATATCGAAATCCAACAATATTTAGTCGTCAATAGTTCAAACTCAGTTATAGTCACAACTTCAATATTTTAACTTTGATTTTGCCATCCGGATTCCCATTTGATGCTATATGACTTGAAATGGAAAAAACATGAAAAATGTCTTTACTAACGTATACATTTTTGGGAATTCAAAGTGAATTAAACGTTTTAAGCCAATATACTAGCAGGAAATAATTGATTTCAAGAATTGTATAATGTGACTTTTTTGACCCAAAATTTTAAAATCACTTTTAATTCACAACAATTTAGTGTGAATCCAGTCACTTTAGCCTAAATTTGGCAAGTTACTTGTCCACTGACCTCCATTCATTGTGTAGTAAATATACCAATGTACTTTGTAATCTAACCGATAGCCAGTTCAATATCAAATACTTACTTTCACCACCACTCACTGTGTTGAGATATACCTCTTTCAGTACAAATAAAATAAAACAAGCAATCATGAACCTTATATAGCAAGGATACAGAAGGGAAAATTGCGGCTTAGTGAAATGATACGGAAATTAACCACAAAGATCTCTGGATAATCCACTCATTGTATTATTTGATGAATAAATGTCATATTTACTTTTTCTAATTGCGTGCAGTGTTCATACTTTACTCTTGAATTACCTGATTTTCAAATAAACCAATGGAAAACAATATGAAATATACTATTCAGGCAGCATGAACTCCAGTGCAGCCTTGGGGAGACATTTTTATAAAAATCTCTGATTAGAAAGAGCTATGAATAGTTTGCGTCTGATTGTAATACAGCACTAGATGACACACACACACACACACACGTTTATCAAAGGACACTTTCAGATTGTATTGAACAACTGACTGGTTTTGACAGATGAATATCAGTGAATTGTGCTGTTTATTTTTTTGGTTTGTTAATTTTTTTTTTAAAGGAACTATATGTATAGTTGTACGTGTCCCCTCTGTACAGTATGTATCCTTGGCCAAGACACCTAATGATATAGATCTGTCTATCTCAAATCCTCATAGATTGTCATCTTGTCTTAGCAGGGTCTTGTTTACATATAAATGCCCCCTTTCTGGACTTTCTGGAGCGCTGTGGAATATAGTGGCGCTAAATCAATAATAACTAGTCATGTATGTATTGATTGTGTGCACACGTACATGCACGCTTGTATGTGTGTGTTCATACACTTACTGTATATTCATGAATCTGAATTCTGTTCTATTCATTTATATTATCAGATTGTTTGGCTTCCCTAAAAAGAAATATGTTAATGTTACTTGCAATCGGCACATAAAGGAGTATCCTGGCTGCGTTTTCCAAGATTGCACTTCTGTCAATGGAAAGTTGCACAGAATTGACATTAGTCAGCCTCTACCTCTGGGCTTTGTTGATGACACCCCAGTGATACCGGAGATGGAGTTACACCTTTGGCAACAGCGTAGTTAATCTCTCTATGTGCCACGTTTCACCATGCAGACTCCAAGCACCATGACTGAAGTGGTCATAGTGTTGGGAGTAACCGTTTACATCTTTTTATAAGTGTTGCAAGTCATTGACATAAATAGGAACAGGGGTTCCATCAGGAGCTATAATAATTGTGTTGGCGGCAAATTGATGTAGACACACCATCCCAGTGAAGTCTGAGCAAGCAGTGAAGGCTGAGGAAGCAGTGATGGCAGTGGAAGCAGTGAAGGCTGAGGAAGCAGTGAAGGCTGAGGAAGCAGTGATAGCAGAGGAAGCAGTGATAGCAGAGGAAGCAGTGAAGGATGAGGAAGCAGTGAAGGCTGAGGAAGCACTGTTGCTAGAGGAAGCAGTGATGGCAGAGGAAGCAGTGAAGGCTGAGGAAGCAGTGATAGCAGAGGAAGCAGTGATAGCAGAGGAAGCAGTGAAGGATGAGGAAGCACTGTTGCTAGAGGAAGCAGTGATAGCAGAGGAAGCAGTGAAGGCTGAGGAAGCAGTGATAGCAGAGGAAGCAATGAAGGCTGAGGAAGCACTGTTGCTAGAGGAAGCAGTGATAGCAGAGGAAGCAGTGAAGGCTGAGGAAGCACTGTTGCTAGAGGAAGCAGTGATAGCAGAGGAAGCAGTGAAGGCTGAGGAAGCACTGTTGCTAGAGGAAGCAGTGATAACAGAGGAAGCAGTGAAGGCTGAGGAAGCACTGTTGCTAGAGGAAGCAGTGATGGCAGTGGAAGAAGAAATACTCAGTGAAACAATATTAGCAACACATGCTAGAATGGAAAGGATTAGATTAATGAATAATGTTAGACATCCAGCATACAGGATTTGAAGTAACCTGCTGCCATTTTTAGGAATGGAGCTTCACTTCTCAAACTGTAATAATACTAATGTATGAGCGGCGTTAAGTACACAGTAAGTACAGTTGCCTTATTGAAATCAGGCATCCATATATCTATATATCAGGCCTCCTGTACAGCGTGAGAGTAAAATACTGCATTTAAAGTCCTTAATGGATGAAGAATCTGACTGGATCTCAAAGTGCTAGGTTTCATTCTGCAATGCAAACCTAAAGTTAGCCAGTGTATAGTCGAAAGAAATATGTAATTAGGTGGAAAAATATAAATTTCTTCTTTCCGTGGATGGTTTTACACGTTTTGTCCTCCCACAAAGTTCTGACCAACAAGGCAAGAGGTAAATACTAAATATTTCAAAATCTGTAATGTATTCAGATTTAATTTCGATGAAAACTACATACATTTTTTATATCTTCAGAGTTTCTAAGAAACAAGAAAAATTCTAAAAACAATAAATAAAATAAGCTTGAAATCGGTTTGTTTAACTGCTTGGAAGGCTGGTAATCCTTACCTTTTTGTGTCACTATACCCCACTCCCTCTAGCATGTAAACTCACTGAGCAGGCCCCCAATCCCTCTGTTACTGTGTCACTATACCCCACTCCCTCTAACATGTAAACTCACTGAGCAGGCCCTCAATCCCTCTGTTACTGTGTCACTATACCCCACTCCCTCTAACATGTAAACTCACTGAGCAGGCCCTCAATCCCTCTGTTACTGTGTCACTATACCCCACTCCCTCTAACATGTAAACTCACTGAGCAGGGCCCTCAATCCCTCTGTTACTGTGTCACAATACCCCACTCCCTCTAACATGTAAACTCACTGAGCAGGCCCTCAATCCCTCTGTTACTGTGTCACTATACCCCACTCCCTCTAACATGTAAACTCACTGAGCAGGCCCTCAATCCCTCTGTTACTGTCACAATACCCCACTCCCTCTAACATGTAAACTCACTGAGCAGGCCCTCAATCCCTCTGTTACTGTGTCACTATACCCCACTTCCTCTAACATGTAAACTCACTGAGCAGGGCCCTCAATCCCTCTGTTACTGTGTCACTATACCCCACTCCCTCTAACATGTAAACTCACTGAGCAGGGCCCTCAATCCCTCTGTTACTGTCACTATACCCCACTCCCTCTAACATGTAAACTCACTGAGCAGGCCCTCAATCCCTCTGTTACTGTGTCACTATACCCCACTCCCTCTAACATGTAAACTCACTGAGCAGGCCCTCAATCCCTCTGTTACTGTGTCACTATACCCCACTCCCTCTAACATGTAAACTCACTGAGCAGGGCCCTCAATCCCTCTGTTACTGTGTCACTATACCCCACTCCCTCTAACATGTAAACTCACTGAGCAGGGCCCTCAATCCCTCTGTTACTGTGTCACTACCCCCCACTCCCTCTAACATGTAAACTCACTGAGCAGGGCCCTCAATCCCTCTGTTACTGTGTCACTATACCCCACTCCCTCTAACATGTAAACTCACTGAGCAGGGCCCTCAATCCCTCTATTACTGTGTCACAATACCCCACCTGAATTAAACAGTAAACTCACTGAGCAGGCCCCTCAATCCCTCTGTTACTGTGTCACTATACCCTACCTCTAACATGTAAACTCACTGAGCAGGCCCCTCAATCCCTCTGTTACTGTCACACACCCCACTCCCTCTAACATGTAAACTCACTGAGTAGCCCCCTCAATCCCTCTGTTACTGTGTCACTATACCCCACCCTCCTGACATGTAAACCCACTGAGCAGGACCCTCAATCCCTCTGTTACTGTGTCACTATACCCCACTCCCTCTAACATGTAAACTCACTGAGCAGGCCCTCAATCCCTCTGTTACTGGGTCACTATACCCCACTCCCTCTAACATGTAAACTCACTGAGCAGGGCCCTCAATCCCTCTGTTACTGTGTCACTATACTCCACTCCCTCTAACATGTAAACTCACTGAGCCGGGCCCTCAATCCCTCTGTTACTGTCACTATACCCCACTTCTTCTAACATGTAAACTCACTGAGCAGGGCCCTCAATCCCTCTGTTACTGTGTCACTATACCCCACTCCCTCTAACATGTAAACTCACTGAGCAGGGCCCTCAATCCCTCTGTTACTGTGTCACTATACCCCACTCCCACCAACATGTAAACTCACTGAGCAGGCCCTCAATCCCTCTGTTACTGTGTCACTATACCCCACCCCTCTAACATGTAAACTCACTGAGCAGGGCCCTCAATCCCTCTGTTACTGTGTCACTATACCCCACTCCCTATAGCATGTAAGCTCATTGATCAGGGCTCTCAATCCCTCTGTTACTGTGTCACTATACCCCACCCCCCTAACATGTAAACTCACTGAGCAGGGCCCTCAATCCCTCTGTTACTGTGTCACTATACCCCACTCCCTCTTAACATGTAACCTCGCTGAGCAGGGCCCTCAATCCCTCTGTTACTGTGTCACTATACCCCACTCCCTCTAACATGTAAACTCACTGAGCAGGGCCCCTCAATCCCTCTGTTACTGTGTCACTATACCCCGCTCCCTCTAGCATGTAAACTCACTGAGCAGGGCCCTCAATCCCTCTGTTACTGTGTCACTATACCCCACTCCTTCTAACATGTAAACTCACTGAGCAGGCCCTCAATCCCTCTGTTACTGTGTCACTATACCCCACTCCCTCTAACATGTAAACTCACTGAGCAGGCCTCAATCCCTCTGTTACTGTGTCACTATACCCCACTCCCTCTAACATGTAAACTCACTGAGCAGGCCCTCAATCCCTCTGTTACTGTGTCACTATACCCCACTCTCTCTAACATGAAAACTCACTGAGCAGGCCCTCAATCCTCTGTTACTGTGTCACTATACCCCACTCCCCCAATAACATGTAAACTCACTGAGCAGGGCCCTCAATCCCTCTGTTACTGTGTCACTATACCCCACTCCCTATAGCATGTAAGCTCATTGATCAGGGCTCTCAATCCCTCTGTTACTGTGTCACTATACCCCACCCCTCTAACATGTAAACTCACTGAGCAGGGCCCTCAATCCCTCTGTTACTGTGTCACTATACCCCACTCCCTCTAGCATGTAACCTCACTGAGCAGGCCTTCAATCCCTCTGTTACTGTGTCACTATACCCCACTCCCTCTAACATGTAAACTCACTGAGCAGGGCCTCAATCCCTCTGTTACTGTGCTACTATATCCCACTCCCTCTAACATGTAAACTCACTGAGCAGGCCCTCAATCCCTCTGTTACTGTGTCACTATACCCCACTCCCTCTAACATGTAAGCTCACTGAGCAGGCCCTCAATCCTACTGTTACTGTGTCACTATACCCCACTCCCTCTAACATGTAAACTCACTGAGCAGGGCCCTCAATCCCTCTGTTACTGTGTCACTATACCACACTCCCTCTAACATGTTAACTCACTGAGCAGGGCCCTCAATCCTCTGTTACTGTGTCACTATACCCCACTCCCTCTAACATGTAAACTCATTGAGCAGGGCCCCTCAATCTCTGTTACTGTGCTTCACATATCCCACTCCCTAACATGTAAACTCACTGAGCAGGCCCTTAATCCCCTCTGTTACTGTGTCACCATAGCCCCACTCCATCTAACATGTAAACTCACTGAGCAGGCCCTCAATCCCTCTGTTACTGTGTCACTATACCCCACTCCCTCTAACATGTAAACTCACTGAGCAGGGCCCTCAATCCCTCTGTTACTGTGTCACTATACCCCACTCCCTCTAACATGTAAACTCACTGAGCAGGCCCTCAATCCCTCTGTTACTGTGTCACTATACCCCACTCCCTCTAACATGTAAACTCACTGAGCAGGCCCTCAATCCCTCTGTTACTGTGTCACTATACCCCACTCCCTCTAACATGTAAACTCACTGAGCAGGGCCTCAATCCCTCTGTTACTGTGTCACTATACCCCACTCCCTCTAACATGTAAACTCACTGAGCAGGCCCTCAATCCCTCTGTTACTGTGTCACTATACCCCACTCCCTCTAACATGTAAACTCACTGAGCAGGCCCTCAATCCCTCTGTTACTGTGTCACTATACCCCACTCCCTCTAACATGTAAACTCACTGAGCAGGGCCTCAATCCCTCTGTTACTGTGTCACTATACCCCACTCCCTCTAACATGTAAACTCACTGAGCAGGCCCTCAATCCCTCTGTTACTGTGTCACTATACCCCACTCCCTCTAACATGTAAACTCACTGAGCAGGCCCTCAATCCCTCTGTTACTGTGTCACTATACCCCACTCCCTCTAACATGTAAACTTACTGAGCAGGGCCCTCAATCCCTCTGTTACTGTGTCACTATACCCCACTCCCTCTAACATGTAAACTCACTGAGCAGGGCCCTCAATCCCTCTGTTACTGTGTCACTATACCCCACTCCCTCTAACATGTAAACTCACTGAGCAGGCCCTCAATCCCTCTGTTACTGTGTCACTATACCCCACTCCCTCTAACATGTAAACTCACTGAGCAGGGCCCTCAATCCCTCTGTTACTGTGTCACTATACCCCACTCCCTCTAACATGTAAACTCACTGAGCAGGCCCTCAATCCCTCTGTTACTGTGTCACTATACCCCACTCCCTCTAACATGTAAACTCACTGAGCAGGGCCCTCAATCCCTCTGTTACTGTCACTATACCCCACTCCCTCTAACATGTAAACTCACTGAGCAGGGCCCTCAATCCCTCTGTTACTGTCACTATACCCCACTCCCTCTTACATGTAAACTCATTGAGCAGGGCCCTCAACCCCTCTGTTCCTCTGTGTGTCCAACTTTTCTGGTTACAACTACATGTCTGTTCGTCCACCCATTGTACAGCGCTGCGGAAGTTGATGGCACTATATAAATAACATAATAATAATAATAATCTCTGAAATGGGCAGTTGAAGGAACTAGCCAACATATTTCAGGAGAATTTAATGCACAATATATCAATAAACTTTACTGTCACTTTAACTCACTTCGTTCATGCACATCATTTAGTACAGAGACCCATTGGTCTATATAAAGGTTTCTTTGTTTGACAAAATATTTACTTAAATAAATGTCATCCATTTAGAGCAGAGATCATAATCACCTTTTTTATGTGACATCTTTAATAAGAGATGGAAACACCCATCACTAATTGTATTACGCAATCCATTGAACACTATCTTAATAAACACAGGACCTATTGAACACATTGTTTGATTTTTGTTATTCTTAATTTCTCTATTTAATCTGATTGTTCCTCTTTCCTGATAGCATTACAGCCGTATCCACCATGGCTACACCCCTACTCACACTCACAATTGACTCTTTGTCCACTTGTAACTTTGGGTGGTATGGGTGCAGCAATGGGTGCAGCAATGACTTTATCTTTCTTTGTGATTTCAGCCTGTATTCACCTTCAGCATACACAGTTCTCTTTCCTGCTTCCTAACAAAATATATATTATATACGCGGTGGGGACATGACTATCACTACCTGCTATAGGTTCGCAGAGTGGTATGTGAGAAGCTCTGCATGTCTGGTGGCATCTTCCTTACCCCATCAGTGTTTAAAACATGAACCGCTAGGAATTCTCCTCTTTTATTTACATTTGTCCATACCAAATTATGTCATTTTCGGTGGCCAATTCTGATGTTACATGTGACGTCGTTCTCAGTATCTGGACTGGGCTACTTAGTCCTCAGTGCTCCATTTTGGCCAGTTTATGGTTCTTGCCTAGTTCTCAGTGCGTGCAATTCTTTCTTTCTGTTCTGATTTACTGTGTTTGACCCAGCTGTTCATCGTTTCTCCCTGTTTGCCGCCTGCCCCTGACCTTGGCTAGTCTGACTAAGTTGCTCTCTAGTATCCTGATTTTGGCTAGAATTCTGGTTTCCTCTGTTAGACTGCTGCTTGCAGTGTATTTCTCTAAGCTCTAAGTGAAGTTAAACCACTCTAAGGTCTGGGAAAAAAACTTTTTTTTTCTATCAGTGGTTACAATTTAGTAGGATATAGAGTTGAGCGAAGGTGGACTGTAAAGGTCGGGCTCGTACCGAACATTAGGTTTTTTGGACCCCGGACCCGAACACGGACATATTACTGTATGTTCGGGTTGGAGTTCGGTGTTCGCAATTTAATGGCACGTTTTGAAAGGCTGCAGGGCAGCCAATCAACAAGCGTTTGACTCATGTGCCATTAGAAGCCATCATAGCCATGCCTACTAATGGCATGGCTGTGATTGGCCAGTGCAGCATGTGACCCAGCCTCTATATATAAGTTGGAGTCGCGTAGCGCCGCACGCACATGAGCTCTTATTAGTGTAGGGAGAGGATGCTGCCGCTGATAGGGACAGCTTAGGAAAGAATTCTGAAAACTAGTGCATTAGTGGGGTGAGGTGCACTTCATATCTGAGAGTCAAATAGAAGCTTCAAATACCGCGGTTACATTGGAGTTTTAAAAGGTCAATTTTTTTTGGTGCTAAATAGGACATTAGTGGGATAGTACATTAGTGGGGTGCACTTCATATCTGATGGTCAAATAGAATCATCAAATACTGCTGTCACATTGCAGTTTTAATACTTAAATTTTTGGGGTGCTAAAAAGTACATTAGTGGGGTGCACTTCATATCTGAGAGTCAAATAGAAGCGTCAAATACTGCTGTCACATTGCAGTTTTAAAACTTAAAATTATTTGAGTGCTAAACTGCTAAATAGTATTTTAGTGGGGTGCACTTCATATCTGAGAGTCAAATAGAAGCATCTAATAGTGTGCTTACAGCGCAGTGGTAAAAATTTAAATTTTCTGGGTGCTAATCTGCAAAATAGTACATTTTGGGGTGTGCACTTCATATCTGATAGTCAAATAGAAGCGTCAAATAGTGCGCTTACTGCCCAGTTGTAAACATTCTAATTGTTTTGCTGCTAATCTGCTGCTTACATTGGAGTTTTAAAAAGTAAAAAAAATGTTGGTGCTAAATAGTATATTTGCGGTGTTCACTTCATATCTGAGAGTCAAATCGAAGCGTCTAATAGTGTGCTTACAGCGCAGTGGTAAAAATTCAAATTTTCTGAGTGCTAATCTGCTAAATAGTACATTTTGGGGCCTGCGGTGCACTTCATATCTGAGCGTCAAATAGAAGCGTCAAATAGTGCGCTTACTGCGCAGTTGTAAACATTCTAATTGTTTTTCTGCTAATCTGCTGCTTACATTGGAGTTTTATAAAGTCAATTATTTTTTTTGGTGCTAAATAATATATTTGGGGTGTTCACTTTATATCTGAGAGTCAAATCGAAGCATCTAATAGTGTGCTCACAGCGCAGTTTAAAAATTTGAATTGTTTTGCTGCTAATCTGCTAAATAGTCCATTTTGGGGCCTGCGGTGCCCTTCATATGTGAGAGTCAAATAGAAGCATCAAATAGTGCGCTTACTGCGCAGTTGTAAACATTCTAATTGTTTTGCTGCTAATCTGCTGCTTACATTGGAGTTTTAAAAAGTAATTTTTTTTTCTTGGTGCTAAATAGCCACCGTCACCGCCTCCTCAACCTATGGGTCAGTCACTTAGTATAAACTATGTACACAATAGCAGAGGCTTGTGAAGGCCTTTTCTCCATGCATCAGGACTGCAAGAAATGCACCGCAGGCCTCAAATGTTTCTTTTTTTTTATATGTCCCAATATTTATGGGGCTACCCCAATAAAAATAAAAAAATAGATATCTATAAAGACAGTGTTGGCTACCACCTCCTCCTCCACCGCTGCTTCCACCTACACCGCCACAGTCACCGCCTCCTCATCCTATGGGTCACTTAGTATAAACTAGGTACACAATAGCAGAGGCTTGTGAAGGCCTTTTCTCCATGCATCAGGAGTTGAGCTGAATTTGAACAATGAAAGAGAATACCCTGCCCTCCAAACCTCTCTCAAATGGATAATTCTGGTGAGCCTTCTGACAGCCATGCTTTAGATTTTGATTTATGTTCTTCCAAAGCTAAAATGAAAGATTCCATCTAGTGCTATTTTATGGCTCAGCTGTATTTTTAATTTTTATGTTATTTTAAATGATTTCCCTATCCACGTATGTCCTACTCTTACCCCTATTTTACTTGCTTTTGCAGCTCTCTAGCTCTTTCCAGGAGTTTTTTAGAGGCATTTTTGTGGCCATACGTTCAGGTCCCCATTGACTTCAATGGGGTTTGGGTTCGGGGTCAAGTTCGAGCCCGAACCCGGACTTTTTTTCAAAGTTCGGCTGAACCCGCTGGACCCGAACATCCAGGCTCAACTCTAGTAGGATACCATTTCTAGAGGTCTTTTTTAAGGACAGAGGGATTAAGATGCAGACATTTAAGGACACATTAATTCCCCAGGCTGCTTCCATTCTGCCCCAGTAATATTATAACCAGGTTTAAGGAGGCAGTTATCAAGTGATAAAAATACATTTTCAACTTAAACAACACTGGTATGCAACAATTATCCCAATATTTTATGTGATTAATTGTACAAGGGTTAGTCCTGGTTGCTTATTTGCATAAAAAACAATAAACATAAATGGATCAAAAGGGAAAAACATTATCAAAATATTTCTCTGCATCTCCTCCCCTTCTGGCTTTGTGTGGAACTACAGATTTAAAAACTAACCAGCATCTTCTATGGTTTTTTACAAAAGTGAAATTTGTCAGGAGTTCAAAGTGAATTTTAAGGTGAATTTCAAGATATAGGTCAAAATAGTCAAATTATAAAACAAAGTTAATTCTGTTGCCAGTTAGGGTACGTTGACATTAAATATAATATTGACTTTGAATTGACTTCGAGTTAATGTCAATTCTCACTTTAGTGCATAATTCTGCTGAACGTTCGCAGATCAGAACTTCTCAGCGGCAAATTCTTTACAAAACCAAACACGTCCAATTGCAAGTTTGATACATATAACTCGGAGCCATTCTACCAGGCCCCCTGAGGGATGCTTTAGGACAGCACAGCCGGTGCAAACAAATGCATTTACACAGATTGTAAAATCTTTTATTGAAATAATTAAAAAATAAATCTTGAAAACATCTTCATTGTTCCACTGTCCTCACTCTGAGTCTGAGTTTCGATATGTCTACGTGATGGATCTATACAGCATTATGTATATTGCTTAGTATTTCTGAAGGACCATTTGCATCATTCCATAGTTCATTGTTGGATTCGTTACCTTTGCAGCGAGACAGGCAGAATAGTACAACATTTATACAGAATACGCTCACTCAGGAGTTCAGAGGAATTCAGTCTATTCATTGAAAAGTTTTTAAAATGGTTTTACATATTCTAAGAGACTAGAGCATTCTGCAAAACATGGAGAGACACAGGGCGGGAGAGGTAAGCAATACATTTATGCTGTAATAAAAATAAGAGACATTTTGGGGAACATCTACGCCTGGACTGACAGCTGCACAGCAATGCTCTGAGTTTTATTTACCAAGTTGGTTTATGAAGAAAGCACCACGAGATCCTAGAAAAGGAAATTTGCCATTAATGTTTATGGAAAAACATTTCTGAGAATGATTAAATGTCTCTGTGTTTCTATCTAACATGTCATTTTAATTATAGTTGAATGTATACCAGATATGTGACACTGTATACAGGATGAATACTAGATTCACCTTAGGATTATAGAAATATGTTGGCACCATAAACACTACAGCGTGATGCAGTGGTTATGGTGCCAGGAGTGCCCTTACAACCCCTCCACAACTTAAGTAATCGCAATAATATAGAACAGGCCCAGTGCGCAGCTTAGTTGATAAGGGCCACTAGTGAAACCCAAATATATTTATTGAATGTATTGAACTCCAAATAACAAACGTTTCAGGACGTCATTGCTTGGTGCTCTTTAGTATATGTTTTGGGGGGATTCCCTAGTAGCCCTTATCAACCAAGCTGTGCATTGGGCTTTCTCTACATTTTTGTGTTTTATTCTCAGTACTAGTGTACATTTTCTCATGTTTTGGGACTGCAAAGATCCCACCCTCCTAATCTGTGATGTCATACAAGGAAGTAGAAAGTCCTTTAATGATCCATTCAAACATTTGCACAACACTGTAAAGCGCTGCTTTAATAATAATAATAACACAGGCACACTCTGCCTATACATACAGTGCACTGTCCCATGGAAGAACTTGTGCTATGTGTGAAGATAGCTGACTTGTATAGATTAAAGCAATGTTCAAACATCTGATGTCTTCGATTAGGGGGTAGAGACTGGGCATAAGGATCACCACCTTAAATGACGTTAAATAGGACATAATTTTACACACCTCAAGACGCTTTGTGTTATAATGATATAGCTATTGTTTTTGGAGATTCGAACATCAATGAGTAAACATAACAACATTAAAGAGACACTCCTATGCCTTTTACAAATCCCAATACAACTCAATGAGATGCCTTTGCAAGACAAGGTGCTCTGGGCAATTGCTGCCTGTTGAGTTTAGTTCCACTGAGCTTACCAAACCAGAAAGTAACAGGACAGGGTGTCTGATTGACAGCCAAGGGGTGTAACAAGATACATTTATAGAAGTTCCAGTTGCTATTGAAATCTGCACTTTTTGTAAAATAAAAAAGACACTTTCTTCACACAGAAAGCATCTCAGCAAACAAAATTGCTTTACGAATCTGGAGTATCTGGAGTGTCCCTTAAACAATAAATAAATACTTACATCAAGGATGTCAATGTTGGCATCATTAAAGTTAATGTTCATCAGTTTTGGAAGAGGAATTCCTTGTCCTACAACAGCTACAAATAAACAAGTTAGACGTGAGAAATTACACCTCCAGAAAAGGCTTGTGAAGATAATTAACATTTCACAATTTGGTTCATCCAATTAATTCATCTCCCCAAATAGTTTTGGGTAATTTGTTGCATTTGGGGGAACTTTATCTATGGTATTGTTTTGGAAAGAGTAATTCGGACTAACCAAAATAGCGTGAAAATGGCCAATCAGTTATTTTGAAGTACACTGATAGGTGCGTTTTTGTGCCATTTGGTTAAGTGCCCGACAGTGGGAAAAAAGTTGGGCAGATAAAAGAATAAATCTGTATTTATATATTATGTATCTAATAAATATATGAGAAAGAAATAAAGATTTTCTTTTGTTACTGATCCTCCTATTTCTTCCTCTATTGTTCACTTCTCACTTTAACTGTGAGTAAAATGAACATTGAGTGACTGTCCCCTAAGCATTAATAATCGTTTTGCTATCAATCATCTTTTTTGTTGGCCCTAATAAAGGAACTTTGAATCATGAAATTAACAAAACTGTCTGTCCAGTGTCCATTTTGTTTTATGAATTATCCACATAGATTGTCAAAGTTTGGGATTTCAGACGAACTGCTGATCGACAAAAATTCTGAAAAATCGTAATATGGGTTAAAACCGAATTCATAAATCTAATTAATACCATATTGATACATTAATCAGCCTCCGTGCATGGGCACAATACTTGTTACCTCTTGTTGGAGGAGAGTGCAAACAATCACATGATTCACTCTTGCTTGGAGCCCCAAGACCACTGCATTCTATAACTTTGTCACATCTGTCTTTTCACCCCAAAATAATTAAACAGGTTAAGCAAATTGTTGTTAATAATAAAATGGAATCCTTACTGTTAATTGCTGGCAGGAAGGCAAAGCTGAATATGTTCCCGACGAGTCCACCTAATACCGAAACCTTAAAAACAAGAGACTCGTCAGCTGATCGTCCCAGGATCTAACTGGCAAAAAACCAAGAAAGTACTACTATAATTATTAAACCTTTTATATTTCTCGGAGCTAAAGAGAGTTGAGGTGATGTATTTATTGGCTGAATAAAACCTTGCAAATACAATCAATCAAATTTTTCAGACATAGTAATTTGTAGAACATGCCTGAAGAAAGTCTAACCTCATATTTACTCAGCGAATAAAAATATCACTTTTACGAGTTTGACCCCTCCGTATATTTGTATTGCTGACATTGTACCATTCTCGATTTTTGCATTTTACAAGTGCCTGCACTGTTAACCCCTTCAGGACCGGACTGTTTTTGCGATGTTTGTGCGTTAAGGACCAGAGCTATTTTAACACTTTTGTGGTGTTTATGTTTAGCTGTAATTTTCCGCTCTCTCATTTACTGTTCCGATACAAGTTATATATTGGTTTTTTTCAGGACAAAAGGGGCTTTCTTTACATACTATTATTTTTATCATGTCATCTAATTTAATTAAAAAAAAAAAAAAATATGGAGAAAAATTAAAAAAAACAAGTTCTTTTGACTTTTACTTAAAAAATCTTTTACTGATCTACAAAATCGAATGAAAAAAACTGCTAAATAGATTCAAAATGTTGTCCTGAGTTTAAAAACACCAAATGTTTATGAGTTTTTTTGCTTTTATTTGCAAGTTATAGAGATATAAGTACAAGTAGGAAATTGCTGTTTCAAAATGTACATTTTTCAAACGTATCAATAGTGACATTGTAACACTGTTATGTCATAAATCTCCAAAAAACACCCACATGTATATATTTTTATTAATCTAGATAACCCAGGGTATTCATCTAAGAATATTTTGATACTTTCTATGCAGCCATTTTACCACAAATCTTTGCCAAACTTTGCATAGGTAGTTTATTTTTTTTATTTGTTTTCACATACATTGCAATTCAGGTATAAATTCACAGATTCTGTTAGGTGTCACTACCAAACAACACCTCAAAATGTGTTCAGCAACATCTCCCGAGTACAGGGATACCCCCCATATGTAGGTGTGTTGGGTTGTTGAGGGGCTAAAAGGCCATATTTGGCAGGTGCCCATATCAGTTTCCCAGCTTGGAAGTTTGACATGTGGTCAACCTGGATGCATGTCTTATTTGGGACATTTTGGAAGCCGGCCAATGTATTTTACCCCCATCAAACCAAGTAGACATCCTAGGGTATTTCACATGGTGGTATTTTAACACTTTCCATGCACTAATTCTACAACCAGGCTTTGTCAAACATTGAGTTAGTAAAAATGTTTCAGTTTTTTTCCACACACATTGTACTTTAGGCATGAATTAACAGATCTTGTTATGTGTCACTGCCAAACAACACCCCAATATGTGTTCAGCAATATCTTCCAAGTACAAGGATACCCCCAATGTATAGGTGTGTTGGGTTGTTTGGGGGCTAAAAGGCCACATTTTGCAGGTGCGCATATCAGTTTCCCAGCTTGGAATTTTGACATGTAGTCAACCTGCATGCATGTCCTATTTGGGACATTTTTTGAAGCCGGCCAATGTATTTTACCCCCATCAAACTATATGTTTTTGAAAAGTAGACACCCTAGGGTATTTCACATGGTGGTATTTTAACACTTTCCATGCACTAATTCTACCACCAGGCTTTGTCAAACATTGAGTTAGTATTTTTTTTTCTGTATTTTCACACACATTGTACTTTAGGCATGAATTAACAGATCCTGTTATGTATCATTGCAACACAACAACCCAATATGTGTTCAGCAAGATCTCCTGAATACAGTGATACCACTCATGCATAGGCTTGTCGGGTTCTTTGGGGGCTAAAAGGCCACGTTTGGAATTTTGACATGTAATCAACCTGCGCCCATGTCCCATTTGAGCCAATGTATTTAACCCCCATCAAACCATATATTTTTGAAAAGTAGACAACCCAGGGTATTTTAAATGGTGGTATTTTAACACTTTTCATGCACTGAATTCTACCACCAGCCTTTGTCAAACTTTTGGGTAGTAATCTTTTTTTGTTTCTTTGTCACACACATTGTACTTTAAGCATGAATTAACAGATCCTGTTATATGTCACTGCCAAACACTGCCCAATATGTTCAGCAACATATCCCGAGTACAGTGATACCCCCCATGTAATAGGGTTGCTGGGTTGTTTGGGGGCCAAAAGGCAACAATCAGAACTTGTACATGTCAGTTTTTCAACTTGATATATAAGTAATACAGAGGGTATTGTCACTGAAATGTAAAAATCTCAGCAGTAACTCATATCTGGCTCTAGGCATGGTTTGGGAGAATACTGGACTAGACATTTTTGGGTTGGTGCTCCAGTATGAGTGAATCAATGGCTTCTTTATAATCCCCATGAGCATTGTAAGAGCCCAGAATGTTTTAAGCTCTGGGACATCTGTGGGATGCCAGTCATGCTCCCTGACTGTATAGCTACCTGGATTGTTATCAATAAATTGGGTAGCATACAAGTTAGTCTGGGAAGCAATCTCCTCCCAGATGGTATCCCCTAAAAATAGTTCTACATACTGCATTGGGGAGAAGCCATCAACATTAACATTAATGCCTGCGTTGGCACTAAAAGAGGGGAACATTGGGCTCGGCTAACTGTGGAGGTACCCAGTCCTCCTCCACATTCGGCGTAGCAGAGGAAGCACACCTTCTTTCTTCAGCCGGCTCGCACACAGATGACATGTCGTCTTGACTAGACGTGTCAGAAAACTGACCTGGGTCAAAATCTGACGCAGTGTCAGTGGCGTCAGAGTCTGACGCCAAGAAGGCATATGCCTCCTGCAAGTTATACATACGCTGCATGTTTTACACACAACTAAAACAAATTACCAACACACAAATTTTTTTTTATACGTTTTTCTTTTTTTTTTTTTACTAAAACAGACTAAACAGCAATCCCTAAACTAACTCCTGTCACAAAAATCTAATGGAGATATGGGGGTAGGAAACTGACTGACTAAGACAGACCAAGGCAGACCAAAACAGACGAAGACACAGATTTTTAAAACAAATTTAACCCTTTAAGGGCAAAAAAAATCTGTCAGGGAAGGGGTTAAAATGGATTTTTTTAATTTACTTTAGATACTGTATAAAGCTCTCGAACACTTCTGCTGCAACAAACTATCACAATCTCTTTCTCTCTCGCCTCACAAAACGCTACAGAGGAGAGAGGGGCAGAGATCACTGTCAAAGTGAGTGTTTGTAACACCCACTTTGACAGCCAATTGTGAGCGATTGCGGATCACTCACATGCAGCAATTGGCTGTTAGTACCTGCCTGGGATGTCTGGCAGATAGTTACAGAGTTATACTGGCGGGAGCGATCTTTGATCGCTTCCCGCAGCCCGTTTTTCGCTATCACGGTTCAGGACCGTCAGTGGTCCAAACGCATGTTTTATCGCTGACGGTTCAGGACCGTCCTGAAGGGGTTAACGATATCATTGCAAAATAATTTTCCATACTAAAACTAGTTTTCTTGTTAAAAAAAAGAAACACTTACATCAAAGCGTCCAACTGACGTAGACAATATGGAAAGTTGAGTGCTGGAAAAAGGGGAATCTCGGTAAGTTTTTAAAGCAAATTAAAATACAGACAGTTTTGAAAAAAGAGACAAAACTGGAAAAGGGTGGATTTACTGTTTACTAGATAAGTATATGGTGCATGCACACAAAACAAGCACAAATCTGAAAGCGAATGCAGCAATTATACACAACCCCAGTTGTTTATGTTCCTCCTTCTCCTGTGACAACTCCTACTAAGGTCAGGAAAGGGCAGGGTGGGCACTACCATTAGGTGAGTAAGGCATTGGCCTGGGGCGCTAGCCTGCTGGGAGCCCCCACCGAGAGGATTCCTGGTGGGCGGCTGCTGTGCCTGGCGTTCGGCTCCTTAGCCACCACCCAGCGCAGCCATTTATCTGCTGGGCTCCTTTCCTCACCTCTCTTCACCTCCCGGGAAGAACACTCTGCTTCCTGCAGGCATAGGGAGCCGGAACAGGACTTAGTATCCATGCTGCCTCCTGCCTGTGAACACCGGAAACACTCTGCAGGGAGCAGGAAGTAGGATGTGCTCAGAGTGCAAGGCTCTCCTGCTCCTCCAGCAGAAACACGAACACTTCCTGCAGGTTGGACCCCTCTCCTCCAGTCACAGCACTTAGGACCATTTGGAGGAAGGGAAAACTGATTATTGTGTAAATGATTGTAAATTGGTGTGTCTCTGTTTACTGAATTGCTGTGTGTGTAAATAAAGTGAGTGGTAGTGTGTGTGTGTGTTAGGGTGTTAGTGTGTATAAGTGACACTGTGTATGTGAGAGAGTGTGTGTTAGTGAATGTGTATGTGAGTGAGAATGTGTTACTGAGAGTGTGTAAATGACACTGTATATGTCAGTGAGAGTGTGTGTTACTGAGTGTGTATGTGAGTGAGAATGTGTTACTGAGAGTGTGTAAATGACACTGTGTATGTCAGTGAGAGTGTGTGTTAGTGAGTGTGTAGATGACACTGTGTATGTGAGTGAGAGTGTGTGTTAGTGAGTGTGTAAGTGAAACGGTGTATGGGAATGAGAGTTTGTGTTACTGAGCGTGTGTAAATGACACTGTGTATGTCAGTGAGCAGAATGTTTGTGTGTGTTAGTGTGTGTGTAAGTGACTGTATGTGAGTGAGAGTGTGTGTGTTAGGGGCACTGTGTATGTGAGTGAGAGTGTGTGTGTGTTAATGAGAGTGTGTAAGTGACACTGTGTATATGACTGAGAGTGTGTGTTAGCGAGAGTGTGTAAGTGACACTGTATGTCAGTGAGAATGTGTTAGTGACACTGTGTGTCAGTGAGAGTGTGTGTGTGTTAGTGAGAGTGTGTAAGTGACACTGTATGTCAGTGAGAATGTGTTAGTGACACTGTGTATGTCAGAGAGAGTGCGTGTGTGTTAATGAGAGTGTGTAAGTGGCACCATGTATGTCAGTGACTGTGTGTTAGTAAGTGTGTAAGTGACATTGTGTTTATACGTCAGTGAGAGTGTGTAAGTGACTGTGTGTGCATGTCAGCAAGATTGTGCTAGTGTGTGTGCTGCCATGTAAACAGATTCTTATATATTAAATTATATTTATAATATATATTAATATAATTCTATATATAAAACGAAAAATCTTTTTGCTTAAAGGACCCCTATAGGAACCCAGACCATTTCAGCTCAATGAAGTGGTCTGGGTACCAGGTCCCTCTAGTTTTAACCCTTCAGAGAAACTGCTATGTTTTACTGAGGGTTAATCCAGCCTCTAGTGGCTGTCTCGCTGACAGCCGCAAGAGGTGCTTCCGCGATTCTCACTGTGAAAATCACGGTGAGAAGACGCTGGACGTCCATAGGAAAACACTGAGTAATGCTTCCCTATTGGGCTGCTTGAATGCGTGCATGCGCGGTTCTTGCCATGCATGCACATTCGGAGCTGACGTCGGCAGGGGGAGGAGAGGCCAAGCAGGAGGGTGTCATGAGGGTAGGGGGGACCTAATGACCCTATAGTGCCAGGAAAACAAGTTTGTTTTCCTGGCACTATAGTGGTCCTTTAAAGTTCACACAAATTGAATCCCACCATTATTATAAATTAAATCCCACTAAATGCATTGATGTATGTTCTAGGCAGTATAAGTGTATGGATATAAATATTAAGTAGTATGTGTGTATGGATAAATGTATTGGGTAGTATGTGAATATTGATGTATCCATTAGGCAGTACGTGTATATGGATGTATGTATTTGGCACTATGAATGTATGTATTAGACAGTGTATGTATGTATGGGGAAGTGTGTGTGTATCTCACTGCAATTCAGAATTTAGTGAATAAACCTCTGAGAGAATGTAGTTGCATTTATGAGGGGGCAGCAAAATGGATTATTGCCTAAGGCGGCAAGAATCCTTGCACCAGCCCTGGGAAAGGGTGAGGCTTGTAACAATGATTGACAGTGAACCAAGATGGAGATGAATATGGTTGCGTTTTTGCACCTGATATTATTTTTAGACTTCTCAATAACATATTTGTTAAATATAGTCATAAGTAAACTTAATATTTTAAATACTGTGAAATGACAGTTCCCTTTTAAGAAAGCCCCTTTAAATCAGACCGATTAGTAAGATAAATACTGTGAGATTAATGGCTGAATATTGTCTCGCACTTAGAGAGTAGAAGAATACTTACCTGTCAACAGACAGCGAGATCATCAGTTTATCTCCACCCACTGAAAACTTTGCGTTTAAGCGTACATCCTGAAAAACAAATATGCCAGTTCATTTATTAATCCACAATGGTAAAAATAAATGTCTGATAATATGATTTACATAAAAAAGGCATATTTAACACACTCTGGCTCACAATATTCTAAATTCTCTACAAGTCTACAAAAAGAATTATGGAAGCCACGTTGAAAATCACCTTCTAATCCTTTTTAAATATACTTACCACTCCAAGGACGCAGATGGGAGTTTTTTTGGAGTTCGGGTTTAAAGCATTGATTTCTGTTTTAACGAATAAAGACACAATTCCACGATTCTTCTGCAACTTGACGGTGGGAGCTGAGGGTACTCTGATCTTGAGAGTCAGAGGTCGTGTTTCTTTGAACATTGAGGAAACCTGTGTAAAAAAGTAACACTCAGCTTAACAGAACATACTACCTTGCTGGTATATATATATACCTAGCATTAATATATTACACAGTAACATAATAATCTAGGTTGAGAAAAGTATCAGTTCAATGAGTTCTACCTTTAAAATACAGATTTTCATACTGGTAAAACATAATAAAACAAAAAAAAAGTCCAAGAAACCTTTTTTAAGCAATTGTAAATAATACAACAAAAAGGGGAAATGAAGTGGTCTGGGTGCCAGGTCCATCTAGGGTTAACCCTGCAGCTGTAAACATAGCAGTTTCAGAGTAATGCTTTCCTATGGATAGATTGAGTGCTCTTGCCGCGCGTTGCGCATTCGTTGGAAGAGGGAGGAGAGTCCCCAGCGTCGAGGGAGCCCGGTGCTGGAGAAAGATAAGCCTTTAACCCCTTCCTCCCCCTAGAGCCCGGCGGGAGGGGGGCCATGAGGGTGGGGGGGGGGACCTATTAACACTATGGTGCCAGGAAAACAAATTTGTTTTCCTGGCACTATAGTGGTCCTTTAAGTAAAAACTCCTTTTCTACAAGTCTCATTGTGTGACTTCTTGTCTGTTGAATATCCTTGCCAATGAACAGGTTACACTGACCCTGTTTACATAATGTTTTCTAGCCTTTCTTCGTAACTAATATTTCCCATTCCCCTTATTAATTTTGTAGCTTGGCTTCTTCTATTACTGCAATATCTTTCCTTAAAACTGGGCCCAAAATTGCCCTTCATGACTTTGCAATTATTTGTACTGAATCTCATCTGCTGGTTCTGTGTAAAAGGTATGCCATGTTTAGAATACACTATCTTACCTCGATTTGCCCTCTATTAATTTTAGGATAAGCTGTCCAAATAATTTAATAGTTCTGGATACACTTTTAAATGATTTAATATTTTGATATCTCTTATATTTTTTGATCTATTAATATATTGATAAAAAATACTTTTAAAAGTTCATCGAAAAAAATTAATCTTTTGTAAAGCTTATATATATATATATATAAAAAAAGAAAGAAATCAAGGCCTTTGTGTCATCTGCAAAAACACATAACTTTCAATGTCTACTTCAAACAAATTAAATAGATGCCGACCCAGGACAGAACCCCGAGGCACTCCACTTACCACTTTCATCCAATTTCAATATTTTCCATTTACAGTGACTCTCTGCACACTATCTTTAGGTCACTCTGTCTTTAGAACAAGATATGCCATCGAAACCAACTAATTTCAGCTTTAATAGTCCATTTATGTATGTAAAAGTATCAAACAGGGTTCCCCCTAAGAGTTTTTCCATCGTTAAAGGTGGTCCGTCACTTCCCAGCATTTTTAACACTATATCTATTTACCCACTATATTAAACAAATATGTGTTTGCGAGGTATGAAAATTAAGGTAAAATGTAGAAATCCACTCTGCTGTACTTAGTTATAACCTGTGATTGAGCGATCCATCTTGGCTTCCTGTCAAATATAATTATAAGCTCCAACCTTTGTACTTCTCAGTCAGAGTCATAAAACACACAGAGAGATGGAGAAAGAGACACAAAGCTTCAGTCCTTCCTTCTTCCAGTGCAATGTGTGCCCTGAGTGTGCCAGGATTGAACTGGATTGTGATGCCAAGTGCTAAATGTTTAATACATAACTAAAGAAAAATAGAATTGTGATGGACCACCTGGCACCCCGACTGGGTACCTCCGCCAATTGCTGCTTCCTAGCTGTTGCCGAGTACCATAACCATAAGCACCGTAGCCCCTTAGCTGCCGCAGTTTAGCAGGGGTCTCGTCGTCCCTTCTCACCCTGGACCAAACTCCTGTATCCAGCTGCCTGTGAGAAGACCTCTCCTCCAAGAGAGTATAGCAGGTATAGCAGTGTAGCTCTTACAAGAGCCAGTGATTACAGCCCAGGGGAGTATCGTGATATAGCAATCCCCAGAGTAGATACAGCTGTTCCCCCCACACATGAGATGAGACTCTATGTTGAGGGTAGGCAGGAACTCATTTTTTGGTAGCCACAACTTGCCTTATTTGACAGTCCCCGTGCAAGGGGCACTATGTCCTGGACCTGAGAGTAAACCACAGTAGAAACAAATACATGATTACATTGACTCTCAGATGCAGGACACTCCCATACATAATGAAACAATCCCTCCCCTGTGCCTGGGAGATAATTGAGTCATGGACTGTACTAACTCCATTATCTCCAGGCAGAAAAACACACATTTCAGCAATATCTTGAAAGTACCCCTAAAACCCATGGAAACCCCATTAAAGTTACATCCCCGTATAGCCCAGATCTGGATGACTAACATATCCACAATTCACCCAGATCGGTTCAGGGGTTCAGGATTTCTATGGAAGTCATATTTTGACCGACCGCACGCATGGTCCCATGGCCAAAACAGTTCCAGAGAATCAGGGCTTGCGATCGATCTAGTTTGGTAATTTCAAAACGAACAAAATACCGAACATAGTCAATATTCATACTGTGGAGCTTGTTCACCTCATTCAGACGAATTATTCCACCGAACAGCGCTCTTCGAGGATGTAAAGTACCGAACGTAGGCTATGATGGAAGTCCAGCGGTGTTCAGGAGTTTCAGTGTCCGAAAATAGTTTGGCGACCAAACACCGCTTCCTGCTTTTGCAGGAACAAGATGGCTGCCACCTCGTGGTCGACCGTGCGAACTGCGGCCATCCACATGAACAATTAGAACGCTGCATTAAGAGGTGATGATAGGGCTTAACATGCTTCCGGGTAGTCCCTGGTTTGTGCGTTTGTTCGGTTCCCGATTAGCATTAATTACTTTATTACAAACAAGTTCTTTTATGAGCTTTTTTGCATGGCCCATAGTCCTGAGGTAGGAGGCTGGCAAACAGGCCCCTCCAAGAAACAGTGTCGAGGTTACTTTCTCCACAAGAATATCACCTTAAAAGAGTTGTTCACAAAACAATAGGTGTTTTTGAATTTGTTATTGAAAAGGGTATTTTCCAGAGAAGTGACGTTTCCAATGTAAAGGATTGTCAAAGCATGTGTCTGTACAATAAAACAGTCAGGCAAGTCTTACACTCCGTACCACTAATGCAAAAGATTCCTACACTCCTCGTATTCTGTAACAGCTCTCTAACAATGTTTATTAAACCAATCATAAGCAGTTACACTGCCCCCGGGATTCTGGCATTAAAGGGTAAAATAGCAAGCTTATTTTTTTGTAATAAGTAATGTTTGTATCTTGCAATTGTACCTTTATCATACATTATCATGTTTAACATGTTCTCTGTCAAAATGCATATATATGTTTTTTTTGTATTTGTTTTTACCTTTGGAATGGCGCCACCAATGACCGCAGTTGTGAGAGGTGGAATTCCAGGAATCTGTAACATAAATGCATATAGACAGTCTGGTGTTATTCTGGTGCGTGTTACATACATGCTTGTATTTATATTTGAATATAGCTGGGTTTCTGGCCGCTAGCAGGAGATCCATGCAAATTGTGAAAAAAAGAATATGGGTGCTATTAGGATTAGCAATAGCTCATGGCCTACTGGAGAACATTTTCAGAGGGTGTTTAGTAGACGAATCTCCTGCTCCCCTCACTAGTCCACCAGCAGAAGATGGAGTCCCTGTGCCAGATCCTGGTTTTATTGCACCCCTTGTAATGTTTACTACTGCTGTTAACAGTGATCGCTGGTGTGATCTCAACAAGCAAAGTGTATTGTAAAATGGAGTGTATCAAGACAATATTCATTCTTTAAAACGAGGAATACTATAGGAACCTGCCAAGCTACATTGTGTTTCTGTCTGTATTTAGTTTGTCAATGTCCTACAGCCCATGTAGGTTTGCATGACAAATTAATTTACAAATAAAGTTTTTGGCAGCAAGGAGCCAGTTCCTATTTTAAATTACTGGAAAAGATTACACAGAACAACACTTTGTTCTAGTCTTAACTTGATAATAACATCTCGAAGTACATTGGGTGAGTCACTTGAATCTTACAAATCATTTTATTTGACCCAGGAGCATGCCATTTGATTAGATAGAATTTTTGGAGAATTATGTATCCGTTCCGTGAAAGATTCATTTACTAAATATCCACTTACGTCTCCATCAGATAATTCTAAATCCATCAGGCCTTCCTTTTGTAGAGCAGTTAGAACACAGCCAAGGAAGTTGGAAGAAAGCCCAAGCTGAGCTTCCGTAGCTTCCATCATTGGTGGCATGGAGATTGGCATCATAGAGTGGCCCAAGGGGTAATCAATGAGTCCACCACCTAATTGACTCACCACTGTCTATAACAAGAATGAACATGGTTAGAAGGACCAAACAATAGTTTTTTAAAATAGATTCCAGTACTGTGCGTATCTTACATTTAAATCCAGCTCAATAAACTGCCCAGTCACTATGGGAAGACTCGATACTGTGTACTGGATACTTCCTAATAGGCCAAGGGGAACCAAAGCTGCGTAAGAAATGAAGTTAAGTTGCACTAAAAATACTGATACAATAAAGACTTATATTAGATTTAAGATTAACACTAAGTACCCTCTTGTCCCATATTTTAACATTTACACTATTTTATTAACAGCATAATTAATAGAAACCCACAATATGTTATATTTTAAAATATTTTTTTCCCCCAAACGTACAATTTGCCGTAAGCAGAAGTCCATTAGTCAAGTCAAGAACGACATTCACCACCGGACACAACTGTTAAAAAAGGATAGAATCGATCAGAGGTCTTCATAAATATTAGTATGCTTTTACAAAGATTTCTAAAGAAATTAATTATTTTCAAGCTCGGTAAATATTTATTGAGGTTGAACAATAAAATTAATTCAAGTATCTTTTTTTTTATTATTCTTTATTTTTGCTGTGCACATATAACATTACAAGCTTGACTTGCCACAACAGCATCAACAAGCATAATATCTTGCCATACTTATATATCTCATATAATATTAATTTAATTATGTTATAAACATTGTGAAGTAGGAAATGGATGGTCTATTTATCCACAAGGAAGGAAGGAGCTAAATGAAGTAATGTGCAAAACAGACCTATGGTGTATAAACAGGTAATCGGTTAATTACGGAGGATGGGCTTAATATTCTTTTTAAAGAAACAGTAAATGCATATATTTTTATTGTTAGCATTGGAGTTGGGACGAAGCTTTTCATTTTACCATCATTAGGTTTTTCATAATTACATTGTTTTTTGCAAGAGCTCAGCCTTAGATTTCTAAAATAACCAGTAGGTAGAACTATAATGAGGGCCATTAACACCTATTTATTGACTGGTTTCCAACCAGGTCAGTGAATCTTACTGACTGCCATGGGTGGTATAGTGTCACTACTGATCTGAAGAGGAGAGGAAATATGAATCCTTAAGTTTGAAACCAGATTTAGGGCTAAAATCCCTTGATGATTTTTTAACTTTACTTTTTATTGGTGTAAATGGGGTTAATCACAGTTTAGTAGAAAGAGGTGGTGTTACTATGTAGCCAAAGCAAAACGATTACTGTTGAAACCCATAGACAGTTGGAAATACAAGTATGTGCATTTCATGCACTTCAGGCTTAGGTTAAGCAAGTTAAAAATCAGATATCACTGCTTACCACGCCAGGAAGTATATTTCGGAGGAGATTACTGACCAGCCCATCCAGAATTCCAGAGAGCAACCTATGGTGAGAGAAAGGAGTAGATGTTATAATACAGTGAGTTTTTTTTTTTTTTTTTAATGTAGAGAGAGGTGACTACAAACAATTTTGTGGCAAAATAACACAATTATTTCTACAGTAAAAAATAAATGATCTGGCACATAGTGGTAATAAATCTCTTTGTAGCATTCAAAATAAATGCCATTGTGTCCTCTAATTAGTTACTGCCTAAAATGGACCAAAATGTGTCCGGCTTCTTACATAGAGCTCATTCCATTCTAGGTATCCTAGTGGGAAGCCCATAGAAAGTGATAGTATACACTGATTCCAAAATGCTTCTAGATTACGCCTTGTATTTATCATAAATGTTTTGATACGCACCCTCTTAGCAATCTCACGTTTATTCCACCAAGTAGTGCCTGGCAGTCTTCAATAACCAGCCTGGGTACACCTGATGCCTCCTGAGTGAGTCTAGTTCGAGCTGTGATGTTAACTTCAACCAAGATGTCAAGGAAGCCTAACAAACTTCAAAGAATTAGAAAATCAATGCAAAACATCAACTACAAAGACCCATAGACCCATTCATAAAAACAAGATATCAATAGAGTACTAGATAGTAAAAACTAGGGTCGAGATACTAAACATATTACATCTATAGACTAAGGGTGTTTTTCAGCCAAAATTGTTTTAAATTAAACAGATAATTTTTTTTCAAAAAAGTTGAGTTAGAAATATTAAACTTTTCTGTTATTTTGGCCGACAATTTTCATTCCCCTTTTCAAGCCTTATAAACGTGTTGGTTTGGTGGAAAGACAAACAAACAACCTATTTAGAATTTATTCAGAAATTGTGACTTTTGTATATCAGTTTCCCGTATGATCTCACTTGAGACCTGTGTTCCTGAAATAGTTTTAGGATATCCCTAATAACGGTCATTGTAACAGTTGAGAATCTATTGCTTTATCCACAAAGCCAAAAAGTTTAGAAGATGAAATATGGTAATTTCCAGTGTATCTAGAGAGGAAGAATTATCCAAATAGTTAAGAAGTCAATCTTTATTAGATATCACAACAAAGTAAAAACATCACTATTGTAACAAAGAGGACAACTTACCCTGCATAGGGAGACTGTGGATTACTATTCAGTTCGGGACATTGGAGGCATTCACCATACGAATGCTTGCTACCGAATAACAGGTCACCTTGATTCCTAATTATAACCCATTTACCTCCTTGCTCTATGGGGATTTTCTTACAAAGAAACGCACGAACGCTATACGAACTGTATGGGTGGCTGCCATTACGGGACTTCCATTACGGGACTTGCCGTCGAGTGTCTGTAACTAAAAAACGGACACTCGAATAGGCGAACACCGCTGAGACCTCCATAACTTTGGAAAATCGTGCTACAACTACCGAACGACAGGGCGTTCGGTAGAAAGACTTAACAGCTTATGGGGATTCCAGCTAACGTGAGATTATATAGGGATGGCCAGCCGTTCGGGACTTTTTACGCATGAACTAAGACCGACTGCAGGGCCAGGATTCATGGAACTGTTTTCGGCTATTTTGCCCGTGCGGTCGGTCAAAACCTTCAAGCCCCATATCTACCGAACGGCTGAACCGAATGGGCTGAATTCTGGACATATTGGTCCCCCAGAACAAATTGCAAGTATTTGGGGTACATCCAAACTTTGGGGAAAAATATGTTAATTTTAATTATGTTATGTGGTTATCTAAGGGGAGGAGATGTATGGAATGTATATTGTGTTTATTGGCTGTACTGTTAATTATGTGGGTGTCTCCCTTGCATGGGCAGAATCAGTGTCTGTCATTAAAGCGTTAGTTCTTCTTGACCCTTCAAAACGTAGCCTTGTCTCATTCTTGAAAGGGGAATTTTGCAGAATAATTAATAAGCTCTTTTCAGAGCTGTACCTGACTTCTACCTTGGATCCAGCAGAGGGGAATAAGCAGCTCCATCACTATACAGTGACTTGCCGGGAAGAAAAGGATGTCCCCAATGGCTGATAACCTCACTATAGCAAACTATGTTTGTAGTGACATGGGAAATAAACATATCACTTGTGTCATATAAAATAGCAACCAAGGAATACTCAAAGCACAGTCGAAATAAGCAGTTAGTAAATATATTTAATTTTTGACCACTAGAGGGAGTGATATTCCACTGACCCAAACATATCTTATCTTTCCTGTATAGCAGGGATAGGCAACCTTCGGCATTCCAGATGTTGTGGACTAGATCCCCCATAATGCTCTTACACCAATAATGCTGGCAAAGCATCATGGGAGGTGTAGTCCAAAACATCTGCAGTGCCGAAGGTTGCCTATGCCTGCTCTATAGCAACCTTAAATAGTATGTTCTTTAGAACTTTGGGCACCTTCAGATTAATAAAAGATCAGTTATAGAACTTATTAGATCTCTAGATTGTAAGGTAGTTTGAGCAGGGTTCTCATTAAAATATTGTTCCTGTAACATTTTGCCATTCTCATTTATTGTTAAATTCCCCCTTCATAATATTGTAAAGCATAGAGGAATATGTTAGTTCTATAAAAATACTACTACTACTAATTAAAATAATAATAATAATAATAATTAGATTCTTAGCACCAAGTGAAATGTGATTATTGATGCCAGTAACAACCATTATTATGTTGTGGCTAAGAATCATTATCATTTGTAGGATCACAGATTTTAAATCTTGATGCTTCATGTATTTTAGAGTTAGTGTGCTTTTAATGCTATTAAGGAGTGGTTATTAATAAACAAATCTTACATGTTGAAACCTAAAGGGGCTGTTACTGTTAAATATTAACTGAGCCTGATTATGTTTCACTGGATGTTACCTTTCATGCCATTTCTTTATCTCTCCAAGTCTGCTAACAGTTTAGTTTATGTACCCATATCATCAATTGCTTGCCAATAACTGACAAAATACACACACAAGCAAATACTGTAGGGTTTCGCCATTAACTGCCAATAAAACTACAAAATGTGTTTTTTACAATTACACCTATATTATCAATAAAAACAGTTTTCACCCTTACCTTTTTCCATTGATAGCCACCTTTGTGTACAAGTTAAGGTGGACACCGATTCCTGGCAGCAGGCGCAAAGATAATTGCGGGAGTGTAAGATCAATAATCCGCAAACTAAGAACAAACAAATGAACACATTGGGGAGATTTATCAAAGAATCTGATGGGAATAGTGCTGCAACTATGTAAAAGGATAGGAATTACCTTCCTGATTCTACTGGTTTTCATTCTGATTTCCCCTTCTTTAATATGTTGTACTATTCTACAGAACACTTTGTTAAATTGTAATTAACGATGAGATTGTTAAAGAAACACTATAGGCGCCCAGACCCCAGACTCCCCCCCCCTCCCCCCCCTTTTTAGCCCTGTACTCGAAATGGAATACAGGACTAACCTCCCTCTAGTGGCTGACAGTATGACAGCGCTAGAGGCTTTTCCATAAAACAGCAGAGTACAGCAAGGCATTTTCCCAAGCATGCGCAGTAGCCTCCCAATCACCAACATTGATGATTTTGATTAAAGAGGCAGAACTTAAGCGGGGAGACCGTAGCTGCGAGTGCTGAAACGTTAGTAAATCACCTTTTTTTAACCCTAGCAGCGCTGACCCAGTCACCTAAATGGTGACTAGGGCCCCATAGCGTTAGGAATACATGTTTGTATTCCAAGTGCTATAGTGCACCTTTAAGCATTAAAATCATATTAATGGCAAAGTACTGGCATTGTTATAATTAGTAATAAACAATCTGATTTGTCATTTATCATTGTTATTACCAAAGCATTTATTTTTTTAAGAAGGAATTTGCATACTTATATTTAACCTAATTTATTGCTACACCCATCTCTTATGCCTGAACATGAAATTAGCATAGATATAGGACACATTTTTACAATTTGTGGGGGGGAGGGGAGGGGGTATGTTTAGGAGAGCAACATCCTGTTACAATTTTGCTCTTTAATCTACCATAGAGAAGAAGAATCTGCTCATTATGCAGCCAGAACCATACATCTGTTAGGTGCTGCACTATACCTACATTATAAATAATACTTGAATAGAATGATTATTATAGCAAATACAGTGCAAATAAAAAACGTGTAAAATTAATTCATACATTGTTTATAATAGAGCTTACCCAGTGAGGCCTTGCACTGTGTTTAATAGGCCACCATTTCCAAGAATTCCAAGAAGACCTCCGCCTCCAAGCAAGCCACCAAGCAATCCGCCACTTCCAAGAAGACCTCCATTGGGTTGAGGACCATTGTTACTATGATCATCCCATTCACCAGAATTACCATGAGCTCCTCCTTGAAGCCCACCAACTCTTCTGCCATCATCACCACCCCCACTACTACCACCTCCACCAAGGATGCCTCCAAGAAGTCCTCCTCCACCACCACCACCTAGAACACCACCAAGAAGGCCACCTCCACCACCTCCACCACCTCCACCACCACCTCCTCCACCTCCAAGTATGCCACCAAGAAGTCCTCCTCCACCCCCACCACCACCTAACACACCCCCTAGAAGACCCCCGCCACCTCCACCACCAAGAAGACCACCAACAAGACCTCCCACAAGGTCACCTCCACCAGCCCCTGCAGGCATTTGCAAGTTGTTCTGGGAGCTGCTTCCACTCATTTTTCCTGAAACAGCTGAAAAAGAACAATATTTTCCAAATTTGGTATAACTTTAAATGCATTTATATACATACAATTTCATATTTTAAAATAACAACCTAACTATCACTTTAAAACCTCATCCATATAAACTGATTAATCTTACGAACATTATATTGAACTAAAACTCTTTTACCATTCCACTATTTAGATTAGCTAAACATCTCAGAAGAGATCAGTGGCCATCACTGAGTTAATATTTGGCACATTATAGTAAATTGATCCCAGGATATCAAAAGACCTAAATTTCACTTGGGCAACCAACACAATCTCAATGTTTACTTCCTAAATTGTATTTGGAAGAGGTTAGGTAGGATATTCAGTATCTCACAAAAGTGAGTACACCCCTCACATTTTTGTAAATATTTTATTTTATCTTTTCATGTGAAGAAATGACACTCTGCTACAATGTAAAGTAGTAAGTGTTCAGCCTGTATAAGAGTGTACATTTGCTGTCCCCTCAAAATAACTCAGCACACAGCCATTAATGTCTAAACTGTTGGCAACAAAAGTGAGTACACCCCTAAGTGGAATTGTCCAAATTGTGCCCAAAGTCTAAACATTTTATTTTCCAGCACTGCCTTAACCCTCATGGGCATGGAGTTCACCAGAGCTTCACAGGTTGCCACTGAAGTCCTCTTCAACTCCTCCATGACGACATCACAGAGCTGGTGTATGTTAGAGACCTTGTGCTCCTCCACCTTCCACTTGAGGATGCCCCACAAATACTCAATAGGGTTTAGGTCTGGAGACATGCTTGGCCAGTCCATCACCTTTACCTTTAGGTTCTTTAGCAAGGCAGTGGTCGTCTTTGAGGTGTGTTTGGGATTATTATCATGTTGGAATACTGTCCTGCGGCCCAGTCTCTAAAGGGAGGGGATCATGCTCTGCTTCAGTATGTCACAGTACATGTTGGCATTCAAGGTGTTTGCGGGCTTTCTTGTGTATCATCTTTAGAAGAGCCTTCCTTCTGGGATGACAGCCATGGAGACCAATTTGATGCAGTGTGAGGCGTATGGTCTAAGCACTGACAGGATGACCCTCTACCCCTTCAATCTCTGCAGCAATGCTGGCAGCACTCATACGTCTATTTCCCAACCTCTGTATATGATGCTGAGCACGTGCACTCAACTTCTTTGGTCGACCATGGCGAGGTCTGTTCTGAGTGTAACCTGTCCTGTGAAACCACTGTATGGTCTTGCCCACCGTGCTTCAGCTCAGTTTCAGGGTCTTGGCAATCTTGTTATAGCCTAGGCCATCTTTATGTAGAGCAACAATTCTTTTTTTTAAGATCCTCAGAGATTTCTTTGCCATGATGTGCCATGTTGAACTTCCAGTGACCAGTATGAGAGAGTGTGAGAGCGATAACACCTGCTCCCCATGCACACCTGAAACCTTGTAACACTAAAGAGTCACATGACACCAGGGAGAGAAAATGGCTAACTGAGCCCAATTTGGACATTTCCACTTAGGAGTGTACTCACTTTTGTTTTCAACGGTTTAGACATTAATGGCTGTGTGTTGAGTTATTTTGAGGGGGCAGCAAATTTACATTGTTATACAGGCTGTACACTTACTACTTTACATTGTAGCAGAGTGTCATTTCTTCAGTGTTGTCACATGAAAAGATATAATAAAATATTTACAAAAATGTCAGGGGTGTACTCACTTTTGTGAGATACTGTATATTTCTCTTGTTACCTTTATTCAGTGCTGTTCTGCTCATCCGCAGTACTGCTCCATTACTTCCAGTTGTTCCAGCAACACCAGAAAAATGAGAATGTATCAGTAAAGTACTCACAAAGCAGACACGCCACAACCTGAACATTTTTGGGCCACGTACCTGCTAAAAAAAATTGTAAGTAAGTACATTTACATCAGACAGGCTCCTCACCTGTCCATCGTCCATCCACAGTACAACATACCCTCCTGGGAACCGAGGAAAAAAATAGTCTTACATTTTCTTTCCATTTTTAATGAAAAGAAAGAGGACGTTCCCAGCATCCCAGCCTGTCACATGATATATTACTGGAAAGCCGAGGATGTCCTCTTTACAATACAGTAGGGATTTATAGAGCAGCTCAAATGAATAAAAAGAGATGCATGTGAACGAAATGTCCAGTACAGAGAACACAAGTTAATGGGCTGGGTCTGGAGGATATTGCAGACTGCCAAGTGTCCAACTGACTTCAGTCCCTGTGGCCAGGAGAGTTTGAATTTTCTATTTCACATGAATTGATGGCGTAAAAGATACCATGTCCTTTTCTTGTCTCTCTGTAATTGATGTCTTTAGAAAAGATATACAGAGATAAAAATATTGAAATACAACCAAGACAGTGTGGACCACTAGTCAGATATACTACACTGCCAAGAGAGTCTCTTACAAAAGATTAACCTGAATAAAATATGTACAAGGTGACAGAATATGTTTTAATTCAAAGAGATGGATTGTGAAATTTTCTTAAAAAAACTAAAGCTAAAAATATTTACCCAACTAAAGTTGTTTTTAATTGAAAAAAAATAAATAAGATTATGCCCTAGGGCTAAGCATTCAGAAGGATTTAAAAGTAACCATTGTTTGGAAAAGAAAAATATTACAGTGAGGTTTCCATAACAAAGATTCACATGATGTTCATGGAATTATTTATTGAAAGTGGTTTAGTCACTGAAAAGCAAATTGTTGTGAAATTGAAAACATAATTGATAAATTTAAGCTTAAATAGTAATACCGTGACCTTATCTAATTTGGATATTTTTTCTAAATCTATTCTAAGTTTTGCAATTCAACTTCCAATTCACTACAATTCGCTGTTTAGTGAATAAATCCCATAAAGGAAACGGGCCAGACCATCTAAATTGCAATTCAAACAGCACGATACGATGGGGTTTTATTGACTAAACACATAATGGCAGTAAAATAAAAACCAAACTGTGAAAGTTAATAAATAAATAAAAGCTGTGACTGTATCTGAGAATTTTATATTTTAATTTTATAATTACATTTTATAAGTTATAATTGAATTGAAGGTTAATTGCTTTTTGCCTAAATTTCAAGTTTTATCTAAAATTTTGCTTTTCATTTGTGCTAAACTGGTGTTTAGTGAGTAAACCTGTTGTTTTCATAGTTTTTGTGTGTTTTCATGGATTTATGATATTGGCTTTATACAATTCATAGGGTTGGAGCCATAGAATCAGATTTCACCTTTTGATTCAAACACCTTTATTGCAGCACTAACACTCTGCTTCTTCTATGAATTAAAGAGAGACTCCACACACATAAAATACTTAAGGCTTTATTTATGATGACTGTGCCCTCTTTCTCTTACATTTTGCAAACTGTTATTTCAATAGAAATTGTCACTGTTATAAATGAACATTGTTACACCCCTCCCCCTCCTTGCCCCCCTCTTTTCCCTGGCTGCTAATCAAACAACCAGTCCTGTTACGTCCTGGTTTGGTTAACTCAGTGGAAATAAACTCTCGAGGCAGCAATTGTTCGGAGCACCTGCCTTGCAAAGACTTCTCATTGAGCTGCATTGGGAAGTCTGTGATTGGACAGCCACAGAAAGTCTGGGTGAGATTAGAAGGGGAGGGCTTGCTAAAACTGCAGACAAGCGACCTATATGTTTACATGCTCTTTTAGATTTTTAACTGCATTTAGAGACGTAACTAGAAACCACAGGGCCCCGGTGTGAAAATTGCCCTCGGGCTCCCCATACATCTACCCCACAGCCGATATGTCCCGGGGCAGTCACTTCCTCCAAGCTCAGTCTGACATCATCACAGGGAGCTGGGCCGCGCTGTTAAAGCGCTGCAGTGCTGACCGGGCCCCCTGGAAATGAATTTCCATCGGGTGGTGCTAACAGCATGGGCCACCCAATGGGCCCCTGAACACCCGGCCCCGGTGATTATACAGCCTGGGACGGGGCCGCAACACATGACGGCAGGCAACCAGTCACAGGGGTCCACAGGGCGGCCTGGGCCCCCAGAGTGACGGGACGGTCGCAGCTTTGACCCTTGCAACCACGGTAGTTTCGCCACTGCCCCAATGAAAAAATGTGTCATTAAATACATGCATGTTTTTAGTGTGAATATATTTACTAACTAGTGATTATTATTTATTTATTTGTATTTGGGCAGTGGGTTGTCTTTTTAAACATTCCTCCAAAAGGGCCCTCTCCCTTAATGGGGCAACAGGTCCGTGAATTTAGAGCTGTGTGAAATTAGTCTGAACATGTAAACACTGCTACCTCTATTCATTTTATAGAAGTTTAGTAATCCAATGTTATGCCATCATCACCCATTTATTTTGCTTTAAAAGGCAACTGTCACCTCAACATTATTTTTTAATATAATAATACTTTAAACAAGGTTTTAAAGGAAATAGATTTTTTTTAATAAAGTATATGTAAAAATTAGAAAATATAGTATATGACAGGATCCTTTAGCCATATACATACAGCTTGGGTCAGACAGTGTTTGAAAAGAGACAATTAATCTTAATAGATTGAATCAAGGAAGACCATTGAGACTAACAGTCGGATTCAAACACTGTCTGACCCAAGGTGTGTGTATATGGCTGAAGGATCCTGTTATATACTAAATAGAGATTAGTTTTTTTCTCTTTTTTTACATCTATTTTATTTAAAAAAAATATATATTTCCTTTCAGAATTTGATGAAATGATTATTATATTAAAAATTGTTTTTTAATAGTTTTGAGGTAACAGAGAACCTTTAACTGGTTCTCAACAATGCCAAATGTTGGTGGAGATTTATAAAGGCAAAGTCAGGTGATATTCTACTCAAAGCCTCAAAGAAGGGACCATTGCTATGAAAAGCAAGAAAATATATTTAAATCTGTAACACTTTGAGTCCAGATTAGCACCTATGTTGCTTTAAAAAGTCTCCAGTCTTACAAATAAAGTATTTTTTTTTTGCACTTTGAAGTGAGTCACCGCACACACACACACACACACACACACACACACAATCTCTTGTTGATCTGTTCCTTACCTTTTGCAGTTAAATTTGGAAATTCAGACGTCTATGCACACATTTTCTTCTCCACAATATATGGCAAATCTCGAAAATCATCCTTTTATAGAGATGCAAAATCTGGATGCTAATCTTACAGATTGTCAATAGAACAATATAGTTCTATTACGGAATTTCTGCATCTCAGAGATAAAAAATTTATATGGGATCAAGGAAGATTATCTACTACGAGGTCAGATGTCAGATCTAACACTTGCATAATTTATGAAAAAATGTCATGTACTCCAATGCGAAGGACTGGGAGACACAAAATTGTTACATTATAAAAGTATAACATATTATATTGTTATCTACTAGAGTTGAGGGAACCCGAACTGCAAAGTTCGGGATCGTACCGAACATTAAATTTTTTGGACCCCGGACCCGAACACAGACATTTCAGTGTATATTCAGGTTGGAGTTCGGTGTTCGGTGATTTAATGGCGCGTTTTGAAAGGCTGCAGGGCAGCCAATCAACAAGCGTTTTACTCGTTTGCCCTTAGAAGCCATCACAGCCATGCCTACTAGTGGCATGGCTGTGATTGGCCAGTGCAGCATGTGACCCAGCCTCTATATATAAGCTGGAGTCACGTAGCGCCGCATGCACATGAGCTATTATTAGTGTAGGGAGAGGATGCTGCAGCTGTGAGGGACAGATTAGGAAAGAATTCTGGTGTTGAATCTGCAAACTACAGCGATTATTCAAACTACAGCAATTATTTTAGTGGATGCTATGCTACATTTTTGTACCCTGCCCTGAGCCCAGTGCCACAGAGAGTGCAGTGCACCTGCAACTGCATGTGTGCCAGGCACATGGCTTTAATCCTGTTCTGGTAGCTCAGTGGGCAACATCTAGGCATTTTTAAATGCTGCAATTTTTTTGGTGCTAAATAGTACATTTGCGTACTGCATTTCCTGCAGTCTAATAAAACCCTTAAATACTACTGTTACATAGTTGGTTTAAATAATCACGCTTGTGCTAAATAGTACATTTGCGTCCTGCTGTGCACTTCATATCTGAGAGCCAAATAGAACCATTAAACACTGTGCTTACTGCGCACTTTTAAAAATTCAAATAGTTTTGGGTGCTAAATAGTACATTTGCGGCCTGCACTTCATATCTGAGAGTCATATAGAACCGTCAAACACTGTGCTTACAGCGCACTTTTAAAAATTCTAATTGTTTTGGGTGCTAATGCTAAATAGTACATTTGCGTCCTGCACTTCATAAAGAGTCATGTATTGTTATTTGTCGTCATTACCTCCCCGCGTCGGAAGTGGGTAATTTGAGTGCCTGCTGCCTTCCTTGGATGTAGTAGCCGTTTCTCAGACTCCCTCTCCGGAATCAAACCCTGGCCATTACCCGTGGTCACCATGGTAGGCGCAGAAAGTGGCATCGAAAGTTGATAGGGCAGACATCCGAATGCAAAGTCGCCGTCACGGGGACGTGCGATTGGCCCGAGGTTCTCTAGAGTCACCAATGTGCAACTATAATGTCGACAGCTAATATAACGCATCTTCACTAATAGGTAGGGGATGGAGAGAGGCCCTGTGCCGTTCCCTTCTCTTCCCCACTCTCTGGCAGACATCTGGCAGTACTGCCTCAGATCCTGAGAGATGCCTGACCAGAAGAAGCTGTGGGTGAGTCAAGACGCTGTCCGGCTCCTGCCCAAATGCCCTGCCAAGGGGATATTGTGAGCTAGCTTCAGCAGCTCTTACCAATACTTCTTGGGTCTGGGGCTGGGGCTGGCGGTCTCTCACCAGCCATGTCGTTGGGGATCCCATTGAAAAAGTGCTCTAGCATGACGAGCTGGGTGATCTCCTCCAGGAACTTGACTTGATGGGAGTTGAGCCAGTTATGGGTGGCCCTTGTGATGCGGCATGTTCCTTCTCCCCTTTCCGGGTCTCCCTAAACTTTCAGCGGTATTCATCGGGGGTGACCGCATACCGGGCCAGGAGGATTTGTGTAATAAAGGGATAGGCTCTGATCTGCTCTTCTGGTACAGCCCGGTAAATATCCGCTGCCTTCCCCACTAGTTTGCTGGACAGGATGGTGACCCAGTCGCTGGGGTTCACGTCTTGGAGTAGGCACTGGTGCTCAAAGTCTTGTAAAAAGTAATCAATGTCTTCTTCTGCTTCCTTGAACTCTTTGAAGGCATTGTATGGTAGCCTGTGGGCCAGGGTGGTTGTGCTTCCCGGCACCCTCTGCTCCCTTCTTCCTTCATCTAGGTTCATGGAGGTCGCCCTCTGTCTATTGGCAAGGATATAGGCTTGCACCTCCAAAAAGGTCCTGCTGACAATTTCCTCTGAGGGTGGCACTCGGTAATATGCCATTCCACCTCCTTGCGCACTTCCTCCTCATCTCCGGTCCCTGGCTGGGGTTCGTTGCCTCACTGCGTGCCTGGTCATCCTCCATGAGCGCAGCAGTCAATTCGTCCTTGTTACGCCCACAAGGCGTTATTTCTCTGGCTCCACACAAGTCCTGCAGTGTAGGTCGCTTCAGAGCACTGTAGTCCATGGGTCTGTTGGCAGGGACATGGGATCCCGCCGCTTGCCACGGGACCTGGGTAATCGATTGTTATCCCCTTTGATTAGAATAGGTCAGACCCATTTAACCAGTAACCAGGTGGGACACAGTTCCAGGATACAACGTTTGACAATCTTTATTTGGGTACACAGCTTTGCCTCCTGTTGCCTCCTACTCCACTTCCTCCTCCTCTACCACCTCCTCATCTGGTCAGTGTAACACCTTCACCACCAACTTCAGCATAGTCAGGGGGAAATGACAGCAGGCTGTTTTAAAACTCATATGTTTGGGGGGAAAACCCCACACCGCGCAGGAGCTGTGGACAGTCATGGAACAGCAGACCGATGAGTGGTTGTTGCACCTGAGCCTCAAGCCCGGCCTGGTGGTGTGCGATAATGGGCGAAATCTCGTAGCAGCTCTGGGCCTAGCCGGTTTGACGCACATACCTTGCCTGGCGCATGTGCTGAATTTGGTGGTGCAGAAATTCCTGAAAAACTACCCATATATATCAGAGCTGCTGCAGAAAGTGCGTGCCATCTGTGCGCGCTTTTGGCATTCTCACCCTGCTGCTGCTTGCCTGTCTGTGCTGCAGCGTAACTTCGGCGTTCCCGCTCACCGCCTCATATGCGACGTGCCAACCTTGCACATGCTGGAGAGACTGTGCGAGCAGCAGCAGGCGATAGTGGAGTTTCAGCTGCAGCACGCACGGGTCAGTCGCTCTGCGGAACAGCACCACTTCACCACCAATGAGTGGACCTCCATTCGAGACCTGTGTGCCATGTTGTGCTGTTTCAAGTACTCCACCAACATGGCCAGTGCCGATGACACCATTCTCAGCCTTTATGTCTCTTTGAAAAAACGCTTCAGCCGATGATGGAAGAGGATGTGGCACAGGAGGAATAGGCGGAGGAAGAGGGGTCATTTCCACGGTTATCAGGCCAGTCATTCACAAGTGGCTCGGAGGGTGGGTTCCTGCACCAGCATAGGCCAGGTACACAATTGTCCAGCATCTCCACACTCTTCCATGGAAGAGTTCAGCTGTCCATCTCCCAAACACTGGAGAGAAAGAGGAAGTACCCCCCTAGCCACCCGCGATCCCAGGCCCTGAATGTCAGCATTTTAAAATTTGTGGCCTTTGAAATGCTGTCATTCCGTCTGGTGGAGACGGACAGTTTTAAAAACATGATGGCGTTATTGGACTGCAAGAAATGCACCACAGGCCGTACATTTTTTATATGTTCCAATATTTTGGGGGCTACCCCAATTTAAAAAAAAATATATAAAAAAATAAAAAACTGTGTTGGCTACCTCCTCCTCCTCCACCGCCGCTTCCACCTACACCGCCACCGCCTCCTCAACCTATGGGTCACTTAGTATAAACTATGTACACAATAGCGGAGGCTTGTGAAGGCCTTTTCTCCATGCATCAGGAGTTGAGTTCAGTTTAAACAATGAAAGAGAATACCCTGCACTCCAACCTTCTCTCAAATGGATAATTCTGGTGATCCTCCTGACAGCCATGCTTTATATTTTGATTTATGTTCTTCCAAAGCTAAAATCAAAGATTCCATCTAGTGCTATTTTATGGCTCAGCTGTATTTTTAATTTGTATGTATTTTATGTTATGCTTTTGCAGCCCTCTAGCCCTTTCCAGGACTTTTTTAGATCAATTTTTGTGCCAAAAAGTTCAGGTCCCCATTGACTTCAATGGGGTTCGGGTTTGGGGTCAAATTCATAGTCAAGTTCGAGCCCGAACCAGGGCTTTTTTTCGAAGTTCGGCCAATCCCGCCGGACCCAAAAATCCAGGTGTCCGCTCAACTATTATCTATGTGTTGCTTCGTATCAGGTATGCTTTGATAATTCTGGCAAGGAATCAGGAGAATTCTAGTTCTGTCAGAATATAATCTGTGTTCTGAAACTGATAACAATGGTCTCGATTTAATTGGAGCCGATAAGCTTTAGCGACAGTTTATTGACTCCTGTTAAGAATTTTCAGAAACTAGCAACTGTTAAGCCATTACTGAATACTTATTAATAAAATACAGGCGTCCCTCATGCCCCCACCCATGGACATCAGGTGGAAATGAAATTGAAATAAAGGGGTGTTAACAAACCACTGTCTAACTCCTCAACCTCACCCATGGCCAGCCATTTGGCGCTGTAGTTAAATAATATCCATCAAGCCCCCACCCATGTGTCATGGTTGGGGTCTATTTATATAATATCCCAGGCCACCAAACTCATTAGTGGTGGGTGGGGGCTATTAGGATTATTCACTAAGATCTGAATTTTGACTGTAAATTTCCGAATTTGTTGGAATTCATCAAAAATCCAAATATTGTCAGACACTAAACAGGCCTGAAAACAGGCCTGAGCAAATCCAGGTTCAGAGAATTCAACTCTGGACCCTGATTAAACCCTGATTAAAAAAAGCTGAATGATTTGCCTGCTGTCAGGGCTAGCACCTGGGGGCAAATGGTGAAATGTGAGGGGCCACACAGGTTAATTAGGTGATGACCAGTGATTGCTAGACAGTCGCCACATTATAAAGGTAAAATAAGTTAGTAAGACCCCATATTACTACCGTCTTTCCCTGAAAATAAGACCGGGTTTTATATTAAGTCCCTCCCCACCCCCCCTGAAAAACGCACTAGGGCTTATTTTCAGGGGAGGTCTTATTTTGGGAAAAATGTGTGCCACAAAGCAGGTCTATGTTTGGGGGAATTTCCCCTAACATAGACCAGTTCACTAGGGCAATGGAATCCTGCAAATCTATGTTTGGGGAAACTAATAACTAATTTTCCATACAAATGATAGACCAAACTGACTGATTAGACTGATTGACGAATCCTAACTGCATTTGACTTTAATGAATATGCAAATTGCCAATGCAGGCTTAATTTGCCCATTTTTGTTGGATATTTTTCATTTGGACAAAATCCGGTGTTAATTGAAAAACCCTTCAAAAAGACTTACAGGGCTATTCAAACAGGGTTACTCACTAACGTCCGAATGGAACTGAACCAAATGGGCCAAAACCATCCTGCTGCACATGAGGCCCTTTGTTCTGCCAAATCTAGACATTGGTGATAGAATTTATCAATGTCCATGTTTTGTAATTTAGGTCCCAAACAGGCCTTAAATTGGTCTGGATTTCGGCCAGTCGGAACTCCGCCAGAAAGCTGAAATCTGGGCCAAATGCAGCAAATAGAAGCTGAAAGAATTCAACTCCAAGCCCGGATAAAAAAAAGCTGAACGATAGTGAAAAACTCTTGGTGGAACATGGGTTAATTATGTGGTGACTGGCAAGTGCTTTCTAGCCAGCCACCACATTAAAACAGTTAAATAAATAAGAATCCTTTGGAGGTCTGTAATGCTATAATGGAATTATTGTATTTACATATGCCTCCACCTGCCATCCTGCAGATAAGGGCATATCTACCAAACAGTCTTTGCTGACCAGTTAGTAGAAAAGGCCCGATCCTATAGATATAGGGCCTGTAGAATAACAGGGGGGGGGGGACTAAACCATGCCCCACCTGTAGGCATTGGATTAGGAACACTTTACATTTTAAGGGTAGACCCCTCCCGTGGGCCCTCCCCATGCTGGCAGGTGGTGCCCTAATCAGTATAAAAAGGAGGGGAGGGCCTGGCGTCCCCTCCTTGGGGACCTATAATTTATTAAAGAGGACCTAGTGTACCCTTTCATGGCCCCCACCTGTGCTGTCTCATTTGCCCCTTCTCCAGCCCATCTGTATCTCTTTGTGTACCCCTAGCACCTCTGGGTGTCTTTCTCCCTAGCCTCGGTCTGTCTCTTTTGCCTCTTTCACAGCCCCTCTGTGACTCTTTGTGTCTCCCCAGCCCCTCTGTTTGTTTCCCCCCCAAGCCCCTGTCTGTCTCCTTTGCCCCTCTCCAGCCCCTCTGTGGCTCTTTGCCTCCCCCCCCCTCTTATACCTATTTGTGCCTCTTTCTCTCCATAGCCTTAATGGTGTGCCTCTTCCCACAGCACCTTGTCTCTTTCTCCCCTACCTTTGTGTTTCCCCAGCTCCTCCATGCATCTCATCTCCCCCACGTGTCTCATTCCCTCC